ACGCATGTTAGCTTCAGCATTAGCACGACCAGTATCACTTGCATCGTGCTGAGTTTCGTTTGACAAATAGCAAGAAGAAGCAGAGTTGCTGACAATCGTGATGGCAGCAAAAAGGACTCACTCTAACAACATTCGAGCACGCGGGGGCCAAGGCTGACTGACAAGATCAACAGAAGCAGCAAAAACAAAGGACAGTGTGGATGACAACCAGCCCAGTAGCGAAATGGAATCAGAACAAGTACAACACCGAGAACAGCTCGTCTCATGCTCCAGAATATATGCAGGTCCCAGTGGTAATGAATCACTTGTAGCAGTGTCAGCAGCAGCAGCAGCAGCAGCAGAAGAGCCGAAGTAGTAGCAGTAGTAGGAGTAGTCGTCGTCGTCGTAGTAGTACTAGTAGCAGTAGTAGCAGTAGTAGCAGCAGCAGCTGTGGAAGGAGTAAGTAAGGAAAGCAGGAAAGACCCTCTGATGCGATTGAAATTCAAGGTCTGATGCAGCAATTCTCTTGAAAAGGTTTCGCAAGCCCACCCTCGGACAGGTCACCACTGCCATCATTGCCAGCTTCGAGCGAAGAGCAGAACAGGAAACGTGCATCGAGCGTTGGAACGCAGTATCTCTGCCACCTAAACACAATGTTGAACATTTTCGCTGCCAGTCCAAGGGACATCGCCCAGTCGACGTAGAGTGTCTCCGCCGTGGTGAAGGCAGACATATCCCCGAAGCCGACCGTGGTGAAGATGGTCAGGATCTGGGGAAAGTGTAAAGCTTGTCATGATTGGGTAGAATTCCGTGCATTTTCTGAGTGTCCTTGGGACGTCAGCTGCACTAAGGAAATCGTGCCAAGTGTGACTTGTGACAACGTTACCGCGACGAGCGCCCACCGTGGTTTCTACGGTCTTCTACCACTGTAGCGGTTCAGCTGCTCATCATTCTAGCAATATACCTACTACCCCAAACCCTAAATCCTCCCTGAGCCTCTCGGGCCTGCGTGCGGCTAAGGGGTCGAACAGGGGGGATACATAGCAGATTTTTTGGTATCTTCGAGGCAAGTTCTGGTATGTTGTAGTACGAGTAGGTTAGAGTAGGTGTTGGTATAGTACGCTGTAATATAGCATTGGACAGTACAGTATGGTATAGCATAGCATAGCGTAGCATAGCATAACATAGTACAGGACAGTATAGTATAGCATAGCATAGCATAGTATAGTATAGTATAGTATCGTATAGTATAGTATAGCAAAGTATAGCAGAGTAGAGTAAAGAGTATGGTCTAGTCTAGTCCAGTCTAGTCTAGTATGGTATAATATGGTGAAGTATAGCATAGAACAGCATAACATAGTATTTTGCATAGTATTGCAGTGGACAGTGAAACTCCCAACTCTTCGGCATGATCGTCTTTTCGCCGGGCCCCGGGCAAAGTAGAGCGCATGCACCTCCAGGCATTCGCGTGGGCTTTGGGATTCTCATGGTTCGCTTCAGCTAGGGTAGGCGTTTATGCTCTGCGGTCAAAGATGTACACTGATGTGGTGGACAGCGCCTGCTAAACCCAAGCTGTAGCCTTAGACCCTTGGCATTTTCCAATCAAACTTAACGGCCGATGTGCAGTATTCAGCTTAGTTTGGGATTCGCATTAATCTCAGGCGCGGAAGCGGAAAACCTGGAGAAACTGAATCTGAATGTGAGGCATTTGGAAGCGCTAGTTCCGATAGTTTCGGCTCAAGCATCTGTCTGCGTTAGTCAGAGCTGAATCCTGGGCTGAAATGCACCCAAGCTGCCCATTGCTCCGAAGGATCCTGTCCCGCAGGGTTTCAGGAACACTCGATACATGCTTCGGATTCGGGTCGGTTCTTGGTGTCTGTGAGGAAAGGTTGCATGCAAAGTGCCGCCAGCCTCACACGCTTCTCCAGCCTACGCTGCAAAGCCGCGCGCAACTCTGCTGTTCGGAAATGTGCAAAAACTAAAAAGACTTAACTGCCAGGTGACCGCACGACGCGTGCAATACGAGGAAACCCACCATGATAATCGTACTCACAAATACATAGTACAAAAAGTCGTGATCACAGCAAGTAGGCTGCTGCGTCCAAGTAGATACAGTCAAGTCGGGCTTGGTCCCTGGGGGTTTGGGTTTAGGGATGGTCTTAGGTCCGGCAGGTTGGCGAGCCCTGGTTGCACCATCATCCCAACTCCAGACTCTAGACCCTAACCTAAAAAAAACTCTGGAGCCTCAACTTACGACCCTAACGATCATGAGGAGCGCATGGTTGTGACCTGCGTCCTAGAGAATGCCACCAAAACCTCAGAAGCCCCAGCACCTGAGACTCCATGACTACTTGTGGTTCTGCCAGTGCAAAGCTCGTGCCAAGAGGAGCACCCCGCCCAAATCCGTTGGGAAAACCGATTGAGTCACTTCGGTGCTACTCAAAAGCGCTGGAACTCTGCGGAAGCGCCGAGACGTAAGGAATAACAGTCCTGCCCCATCAAAACATCTCCGTCGTTGTTGATGGAACGGCGGGCGACCCACGTGTCCTCAAAGCAACAAACAAAGCTGACAATCACCAGGGCCGCCAACAACAACAGCGGCAGCAGCAGCAGCAGCATCAAGCATTACAGCTACAGCTACCAACATGCTAGTTGTGACCGACGGCTGTTTGTGTCAAGTATAGGCACACTCTCGCTAGTCATAGGTATCACTACTGCTATGATTAAGAAACCAGCTAGCAAGCTGATTGACTGATCAATTGTTTGCCAACTGCGCAAATGGCCCCGACAATCACACCTTGCGTTTACAACACTGATTTCATGAACAACATAGTGGTCATGGTTGTCATGGCAGCAACGATAGGACTCCCAGCCCCCCAAAAGAAAAGCCAAACCCGATAGTGGCCTTAGCACCCTAAACCCTAAGCCCTAAACCCAAAAGACCCAAAAAACAAAACCCTAATTAGTGGCCTTAGTATACAAAAGAGATTTCAGTGTTTTGTCACCCGGCCTCCCGGCTTTTCGGATATCGAGAACTGCAGCACTAGCAAAAAGAGGCCCTTTATAAGAACTCCATAAAGGAGGGTTTAGGGTTTAGGATTATAAGTTACAACTTCGTCCCAAAGAACTGAGCCCCAAGCCCTCGACCACACAGGCCAGACCAAGAACTCATATGGCTACTCGGGTTTGTCTGACTTCTTGGGTTGACGGCTTAGGTTTCATGCCCCGAGCTGTGACACCTCCCGAATCTTCACGGTGTAGGTGATTCAGAGGTCGTTGAAGAGTTGAAGGTCTACGTTCATGCAACACGTTGTGCCCACAACATCTATTTACTATTTACTATAAACGTTCAACCAAGGCCTGCCATGTTGCAACTGAGATCGGCAGTCCTTTCATGGTTCTTGGTGCATCAACCCCAAACCCTGAAGCTGCGACCGTAAATCCCCACCAAACCCTACATCTCAGAGGCTGCCCCAGACCCCAGATCTCCAAGCCCTAAAGGCCTAAACCCGAAATCTCCAAGCCCCCAAACCCTAAAGCTATAAACCCTACACTGAACCCGAGCACGACATGTGAGCTGCAAGGGCCCCGGCATTCGGCTCTTCGTGCAGCGCGGCACAGAGATACCTCAAAGAGAGGAAGGAGGCCCGCGCTTACAGAGGTGCCCGAACAGGAGTGGGCAATGTCCTGTCATGGTGCCATTATCTGCTGTCCCCACAATAGACCTCCAAACTCGAACTCTAATTATTACGGCGCCTATGTTGGCTTGCGGTTTTGTCTTGGAATGTGCTTCTGTTGGTGCACCAAGAAGCTTGTGGGGCTGTACCACTAAATGTGGTCTGCAGGGGAGGGCTTATGAGCAGAGATTTTGCAAGTGCTTTGTCGCGGAACGTTCGGGAGTCCGGAAAACTAATTCCCTACAGAACCCGACGGGGACCACACCCGGTTCGGAGATTCGCGCATAGCAACAATCGAAATGTGAGCAGATCTTTTCCGACCCTCGAACACTACTTACTCCTGCGGGCAATTGACCTGCTCCGTGGTGCGCCGAAGTACCCTACAACCTCAAACTGCGAAATAGGACCACGTCCCAAACATCTAGCACACATGGAAAAGCAGCGAAACCCCAACGTGAAAGGACCCTTTCTGCCAGCCTTGCGAGCACAAACCCTAGAAGCCCTATGATCACCACCCCTTGCATTCCATGCCTTTTTCAGAAATCGGCAGCTTCGAGCCCTTTGCCGGCTCCGGGGGTTCTTGGAAGCTTCTGGCCTTTTCCCTCAGGGCTGTAAGGGCTTCGGGGCTGGGGCTTCGCGGTTGTGCTTGCTTTGTCTGAAGCTTTCGGCTGTACACGGAGTCTTCGGGGATGTGTCTCTGACCCTGGACGCAGAGTGGGAGCCCAGAAGCAAGCCCGAAGCTCTCCTGGGCATCCCGGCCATCCACAGGCCATTAAGTGCACCACCCACATCAACCCAACGGTGAGGTTCATCCTCGGTGCAAGGGCGCTCTGATTCTTTGGGGTGTAGAGAAGTGTGTTTTGTTCGGCTCATGGATGCGATAAAGACCGGTCTTCTATTGACGGCAACTGAGGGAACCAGGCTGCGAGTATGGCGACTGGGTCGTTGCTTCTACAGTTGCAGCAGCAGTGTGAGTTCTCTACACAGAGCTTCACGTCGCGTACAAACAGTTCGCCCAAAATGACACCAACACTTGAAGATGGAAGCAACAGGGATGAAAAAATAGTACAACCGCAGATGAGGAGCCAAGATTCAAGATGAGGCCCTCATCCCAAAGCCTTTAAATAGATGCTCCCAGCAGGGACCCGAGTCGGAAAAGAGCTTACGGGCAGCAGTCTGAAGTCTTTGGGGTTGAAGGCTCCGGTGAACAGAAGCTAGAAACTTAATTTAACTCAAGACAGTTAATTCAGACATCTTGAGCCACTTCTCCTGGAAGCCCGCCCTTAAACCAGAAGCCCTCAGTGGCGCAGGACTGCTGAATCGCATGATTGCCAAGGCCCCCACATGCGAACGCCTCGGAATGCCTGAAGGTCGGTGTCTGCTTCTCTCTCTCTGTCGCTGACCACTGGGCACGGGGCACTGGCAATACGGCACCCCTCAGAAGAGTAAGGACCGCGAAGCCGTAAACTCCATCCTGTGAAACCCCAAAGCCCGGGAAAAAGCAGGTTCAACCCCAAATCGTCCCTAGACCCAGAAACCTCCCCTAAATCTGCAAACCTGAAGCCGGACTCTAAAGCCTTATCAGACAGGACCCAGGATTCACGGGGCGCCTGGATATATTTCCATGTCGCGCTCTCATGGAGGAAAGGCGCGAGCTTCGCGAGCCGTCCCAGCCGCGCCAGCCTCCGAATGGCATTTGGGGGCTCTCCATTCAAAGGGGTGTTCTTGTCACATGTGGTAAAGATCATGCTTCCCTGTTTGGGGGGGAGTAGCTTTAAGTTTTGGGGGCTCTTCTTTTCCTCGGGCTCCAAGGCTTTTGGAGCTTGGGGCTCTAGGATTTATGACGGGCCAATGACGGGGCCTCGGGGCTTTTCTGGAGGCTTGGGAGTTGAAGGTCTTCGGGTTTAGAGTTTAGGGCTTCACGTAGAAGTTACAAGTGTTGTTCCTTGGGATTTATCTATGTATGTTTACTGACTTGTTTGTATTTATACGAAAATGTACCTCCGAAAGCTATTCAGGCGCCTATATCTACAAAACTACATATCTATCTAACAACCTATCTATCTGTCTATCTGTCCATCTATATATATGTATATATCTACATATATATGGATGTGAGACTTTCCGGGCGTTCGAGCGACAAGACACTTTGACGGGCTTGCACGCTTCAAGGCTGATCGACTTCGATCCTAAGCCAAAGGGCTGATGGCTTGGGGGTTCATCTCTGGCAGCGGTGTGGATTCAGAGCTCAAACTTCGGAACCCTACACCCAAACCCCTAAACCCCTAAACCCTAAACCCTTACTTTGAGATATTGCGTGGGCTTGCACCAATGTGACCTCGGTGTTCGGCGGAGCTGTGGAATTGAAAGCTTCGGATTCAGGGTTGGGGTTGAAACCTTCGGAAGCTTCCATGAACCCGACCTTCAACTGCCATAGAACGCGGGTTTGCAACATCCCAAGCCCCGAAGCTCTGCACCTTGCCAGTCGGCTGGTACGATGTAGGCGGGAAAGGCGCAAGCCTGTAAACCCCGCAGCCGGTTTAGGAATTGTCTAGGGTTTAAAAAGGTTTAGGGTTTAGGATTTAGGGTTTATGGCTAAGGGTTTAGGGTTTAGGGTTTAGGGCTTAGGGCTTAGGGTTTAGGGTTTAGGCTCTAGGGTTGAGGGTTTAGGGTTTAGGCTTAGGGTTTAGCAATCAGTGGGATTGTCGAAACAGGGCTTCAGGGTTTAGGCTTTAGGGCTAAAGACTTTCAGGCTTTTGGGAACAGGGCTTGGGGTCTTTCTGTCTTTCTGTCCGTGAGACAAAAAGAGAGCCCTTAAAAAGCTCAGAAACCATATGTGAACACAGGACTACACCAATGAAGACCTTATGAATAAACAGGGCTCTGGGTTTCGGGTCTTTCGCTGCTTGGGATTTCGGAGTCCTCCCGAACCTGGGGGGTCCAGGGCTTTAGAGGGTGTTGCGAGTTTTGCTTTCGAGCTTATAAGCGCATGGGGCTTTAGATGATATTTTGCTGGTTTACGGGGATTTGCTTCTTTGGTTTGGTGTCTTTGCCTGCGACGCACAACTCCGAATCTCGAAGCAAACAGGCGTTCGGGCTTTAAGCCCTCATCCACTGAAAACCTTGATCGGCGGAGCCCCTGAGCCACCAGTTGAGGAATGCAGAGACAAAGCTCTGACAAAACCTGCCATCGGCCCGAAGCCCCAAGCCATGAACCTCTTGCGTTCCAAGACCATGGAGCACTGAAGCCCCACAGCCCTAGAGCTTGAAAGCCCAAACCCCAAAGTCTGGAGCAACCGCGGGACAGTTTAGGCTGACGCCTTTGCCTTTGAAGGATAGGTACATTGGACGTGAACAAATTTCGCACCAGATTTTGCAGGCATCATCGACCAGAATTCAATTCTACAGGGCTGTTCATGTGCATCCTAAGCCCTAAACCCTAAACCCATCCTCATCCCCGGATCCCCGGCACTATGCAGGGCGAAGACCCTTCGAAAGCCTGAAGCCCCGGTCGGATGACTAGCATTCAAGTCCAAAGGAACCCAGGGGTCTCATGCCTCATAGGCACTCTAACTCCTAAATCCTACGTAAACGGATGCATCACTCCGTAGTGGAACTCTCAAGCCGTAAGGCCCGAAGTCCAAACCTCCCGTCCCTGAGGAAAGGTTCCCAAGAAAAGCCCCTTTGACACTTAGAAGAGGGCTTTTGTGTGTATTTTATCATTTAGGAAGCATAGTATAGGTATATAGAGTTGTGCTTGAAGTGTCGGGTTCGAGGCGGCACCGCCTTTATCGGATTTCGGGGCTTCGGCTGCAAAGTTCCGGGACCCTACCGGGAGCCGGGCTCTTGTTCAGAGACGACGAGGAATCCTCACCACCGCCGCTAAAGAGAACCTTGCCGGGGTGCAAGGATTTAGCAAGTCGATGTAGGAGCCCGCAACAGGGGACTCGGGCTGCCTATCTTGGAACTGTGGCAAGATCTGTAGGGGAAGCTGTCATCCTACTCTCATGCAGACGCTCCTGAATGCAAGGCTCTTTTGGATGCGATGAAACAGCCCAGAATGAAGGCCCCAGGGTCCTAAACCCGCAAGACTTCATGTAGGGGCCTTAATGATTAGAATAGGGTTTTGGTGCCCATTTTACTACATTCACACAAAGGAACCTCCAAAATAATATAGGCAATTATTGAGGCCCCTATATTACCCTGAACTCTGCATCCGGAATCCTTATCTTGAAACGTCTCCCGGTCCAAAGAATCGCTCTCAATCTGCAAGCTCCAAACTCCTGGCTGCCAGACCCGAAGAAGCAAGTGCACCCCAGCAGCTGCTTTTGGGATTCAAGCTTGGAGTTTTTTGGGGGGATTTTGGCCTCTTCAACTTTGGACTCCAATGTCCCTCAATGGATCAGAAGGCTGTGCCTGTGATTAAACGGTAGCTACGTGGAGGTCCCTCGAGCTCAAAGACTCCAAGGTTGAAGGATCCTTCGACTCTGCCCCAAACCTGCGGAGGGCCGAAGCCGGGAACCCGGAAACCGTGATTCCGAAGCCAGGGACCATGAACTCTTTGCAGGAAATCCCAAACCCTAAACCGCAGACCGACAGGGTTGGGGTGGGTCGGGGTCTCTGTGAGCTCACATCGCGGCCAAGCAGCGCTAAACCTCGGTCGTGCACGAGCAGGCTCTGGACTTGTATGTTTGGCAGACTGTTGCCGATGGTTGACACGGCTTACAGGCTGCAGGTTTCAGGGCTTCCTGCAAGACTGCACAACCTTCGGAAATACTCAGGTTCACCAACACAAGCACAGATGGTCATTTGCCCTCAGCATGGCATGCTGACAACCTGGACAACTAGGATCGTGCCCCGAACTGTGAAACTCTAGCATCCTACAAGCAAAGCCGCAAAGCCCAATTCAGCTTCAGCCGGAACACACCCTGGGCATCCCCAAGACCCTGCAGCCGTGCTGAGCAACTAAGACTGAAAAACAAAATATACAAAGCATGAGAGCAAAAGAAGTGAAGCCACAGGCCCCAAGCCCCTAGAACACAAGGAGAGGCAAGAACGCCAAACCTCCAAGCAACTAGTCCTAGTGGAGCCTCAGAGAATGCGAAGCACTGAACCACAGTTTCGGCGTTTGGGCTTGAAGGCTTGGGTCAAGCACTGTTACCATGGGTCTTTTGCAAACGTCCTTGCACAACCCTACAAGCTTCGACACAAGATGCATCAAATAGAAGGCCATTACGAAAACGATGCATGCAGACCCCGTTTCATTACGCAGATTGAAGCGGTTGAAGTCTCTCTGGGCCGCTTGCCACGATGGCGGAACACATGCCAAGAAGTTCACGAAGAAGAAGCCTGGTCAGGTTACAGGTTTAGGCTTCAAGGAGTGAGGTCTTGAGGCGGCTTCAGGCTCAGGGCTTTCAAAAACCTGGCCTAGGCCCTAACTCGTCTAGGGAAGTGCAGGACTTACATGCTCGTTTCAGCGAACACAACAATGGCCACCACAGTTGCTCGCTGAAGCTACCTGAAGCTGTTGCATATGGGGGGAAATCCGAGAAACACCCCCAGCTTGATGCTCGCATTTCAACTGAACTGTGCTTCATGGCATTTTGGAAGGCGTGCTTGGGTGGGTGCGGGACTGAATCGATCAGAGAGGCTCCGGTGACTACAGTAGCTTGAGACACGGCATCAAAGTTGGGGCTTGTATGAGATAATGTACAGACTTAGTCCCCCGAGGAGGTTGTAGATGCGCAATCCACAAGCTCCCAGACCTCTGCACCTCTGGAACTCCAGGCTTGAACACCTGAACCACCGAGGCCCGGAATGTCGACCAAACTGAAAGACCCTGGAGACCCTGCTTCCAGCCCCTTCAACAGGCACTGTTTTTTTATCCCTCAGACCTGACAGGAAGCTGAGACTTTATGTAACAGCCTCAGAAAATCAGGAAGAGCCCAGTATCTAACCCTGCAATCATAGCAACTCCTTGAAGGGAAGATACCGTAAACCGTACATCCAAATGATGGACTCGAAGATCCCCGAAGATCCGATCGACGCGCTGGGCCAGGCACCCTTCAGATATCGACAACCGATGGCCTTCAAGTCGCAAACCTGCCGCAAAAAGTGCTGCTTTTCAGAAAGGAACCGAGCTGTTTTCGGGGGTGGGGGAGGGGGAGGGGGAGACAGCCGCAAGTGTACCCGATTGGTGCCTGCTGCTGGCATTTGTCGCTCACTCGAAGAGGATACTGTCGAAGAAGGGGTGTGTGAGCTGAGTTGTGAGGCGTGGCAAGCGTACTTTGCTTGGGGGATTGCCGCGCTGGCGGGAGAAAGCGAAGAGCACTGCCAGCCAAACGCCCGCACAGGGGGATGACGTTGCGGATCGGGCCAAAAAGAGCGGCCTCCCAGCGGCAGTTTACCAGTGGCAGGGTCAAGCATGCAGTGCCTTCCAGGTTTGCGGTTCAACCCTCGCCTGCAAACGGCTGCGGCCCGACGATGCTCAAGAGCATTCATCTACTCTTACTCACTCAGGCTATGGCAGACTTCATTGGGTTCAGCAGGGGTCTCGACGGGTTTACGGGCCGCAACAATGAGTGCCGTCAAGTGTACTGTGGGCTTGTGGGAGTTTCACAGGCGCGGCGGATGTGTTTGAAGTTTTAGACCCAGGGTGCACGATTTCCGAGGGTGCTCGCTTTCCGAAGTGCTCATCAAGCCATGGTATCTTCGAACGAGGCGTTGCCGGAAGCACTAGAATCTAGAAGACCATGCTGCAAACGTCGCTTCTGAATGCTGAAGGCCCTAAATCTCGAAACCTGGATCTCTTGAATGGCCCAAACACTCCTTTTCAGTCCTCTAAAAACCGCATAGCCCTAAAGAAACCCACGAGACCACAAAAACAAAGGGCAATCCAGACATCCCGAAGCACGGCCTCAACTTGCAGGTTCTCGTCCTGTCGGCATTCGGCTGTGAGGCTCTGAGGCACAGCAAGAAATTTCTCAAGCTAGATGAAGAGGCCCCTTGATAAACCCTATAAACCCTAGACCCAACAAGGGATCCTTGACTAAGGAGTGACATGGGCACTTGCTGAGTTGTTGAGGTCATAAGCCCAAAAAAGTGCACACTCTCAGTTCCACAAGGGATCACATTATCCGAGAAAGTAGAAAGTGTACTCATTCAGCTACTAAGCTTGTGTACTTGAGCTGCACCCTTGTAAACCTTGACCTGTTGCCGAACACCTGCACTTCCGGGTTTCGGCTTCGGGAGAGCGCCAGGCTGACCTGAAGTCCGACACGCACAGGATCTAAAACCTTAAACTCCGGAACCCTAGTCCTAAGGCCTTGCATGAGCCTGCAAAAAAGTCTTTCAAACCCAGCTAGCTGAACTCCTGAACTCGAAACCTGACCTCAGCCCACCCAAACCCTATGTTACCCCCAACCCCAACACGGGACACTCCGTTGCAACGGGCAATGCTCCCCCATGCATCGTCCTTGTAGCTGAAGAGGAAGATAAGGAACCTGGTTGGAGGGCTTCGGGGAACCAGGATTTAGGGCTGCTGATGGTAGGATTTGGGTTTGGGGATTTGCCTGATTCTGTTGTTCGTACTGGAAGTCAACGGCGATCTCATTGGCTACTGCGAATCTGCTCAAGCCTCTACACTCGCCTTGGACATTGGGCTCGCTCTGAACCCAGAGCTGCACTCAAGTGCCCGCTGTTGAGGACCCTAGACCTGTTCCCCCCAGGTTTTCCTCGAAGAAGCCTCAGGGTCCTTCGTCTCGACCCTCAGCCTTCAACCCAAGAGCAAGAGCTCAGGCTGCGGCAGATCGATCCAAAAGAGAATGTCAACCGTCAGCTCGACTGGCATCCAGGCCTGGCTAGGTACCGCTTACATTAAAGGATCACTTGGGGCTGTATACGGGATCTGTACATGCGATCCATGAGGGCTTCTAAGCGGTAGGGTCTTGGGGTTCGGGTTTTTGGATAGGTGCTGCTCAAGAGGGGCTGCATAAGTGATCTATACAGGATTCTATAAACTGTCTGAGTTTAGGATTTAGGTGTTAAGGCATTAGGGCTCCAGGGGTTTCGGCATTTAGCACAGCTTTCAATAGGGTTTCGGTGAGCGGCGTGTTAGCACTTAGCACAATGGGGCTTAGGCTATGCGCATGAACTTGCAGGTTTTTCCGTTCCTTCCATCCTACACCCGACATAAGCTTTGAACACCACGAGGTCTATGTGCCCGTTCCACAAGGACGACGAAGGTTAGAGTCAGTTGTGCTCGCCATCCGCAAAGTTTTAGTCTTCAACTATGCCTTGGGATCTCGCCTTTTGCTCTGCTTCTACCGCCGGTTCCTAGGGCTTCGCAAACCTGCGGCAGCCGGAACCTCAGAGTAGCAAAACCGATGAGGAGTACTGAGCACTGGCATAGGTCGGTCATAGGATCTGTTGGTGAGTTGCCCGGCCCTCCCCGTCAAAGCAGGGCTTTGGGTGAAGAAAGCAGACCCTAAGCCCTTCGTTTGCTGGCAGAGTGGCTCTCTCGGTCGACTGCTCGAACTCCGTACTCGCCCCTGAGCAGGCAAAAGGCGATACGACTCTGGGCTTACGGCTTCAGCTGGAGGGCTACAGGGTTCCTATAAGCTTTTGTGAGGCTGTTGTAGATACTGATAAGGGCCGTATACAGGGCCTACGGTTGAGGCTTGAAAATCTGGATTCCTACAAATTCTTACGGCGTCCAAACCTATTCTTCAAACCAACTCAAGTCGAAGTTCAGGTGGCTGGGAGTGGGTTCGGAGACCTCACTTTCGCAACAGCATATTGGCTTTTTCTTCGGCGGACTACATCTTGCTATTCACACACATTTACACACAGGTATCAGCCTGGAGGCCCTTACCAGCAGCTTTGGGGAGTCAGGGCTGCACCTGCAGCCCGATGAAACCCTGAGGCCCAAGTCAAAGGAGAGATGGGTCCCTGCACTGTGCACCTGCAGCACAGCCAGAGACTCCAAAATCCTGCACTTTATGAGCTTTTCCTCGCAGCATGATGGGAGCTGCTGAACACGGAGCCTGCAACAGAAAACGAACATGGACAGATGGAATACCACATAGACATTCTGTAAAAGCCGTTCGCCAAGTTTCCAGGGGCATGGCCTCAAGCTTGCATGCGAAAGCTGGACGGCGATCAGGGACAGGATGCTAAAGCATAGTATAACATGTTTCGGTCATTAAAGTACAAAGACAGTATAGTATCGTACTTTTGCAGTCTGTTATAGTATGATATAGCAGCTTTATAATGTATCTGATAGCCAAAAACTCCCGCGAGTGTTCAACCCTGCCGTAAGCTTTGGCTCTGGAGTAACAATTGGCTCTAAGGCTGAGGTTTCGATTTTTTGGGCTTGGGGCTCAAGGCATAGTTTGTGCGACTTTTGAAGACTTTAGGCTTCAGGGCTTCGGGTTTGGGGCTTCAGTGTTTAAGCTTTAGGGGCTGGACAAACCACCCCCAAACAAAAACCCTCTTGGTCACTGAACCTCCATCCCTACGCCGAACCGCTTCGACCGATGACTGAAGAGATGCCAAGCCGCCGATGTAAAACTCTATGAAAGCCAGCTTGTAGGGGAATACAGTGCCTGCGCGGCAGGGGAGACGCAGGAAAGCTTCGCCCCAAACTCCCCTAAACCCGAAGTTTAGGGGAGTCTAGGCCAGTCTAGGAATCTAGGTTTCACGGTTTTTGGGGGGTTGAGGGGTTGTGGAGGTCTAGGGTTTAGGGGTTTGGCGGACCTTCCGTCACAACTTGAACCAGCTGAGGACGTCTGGAAGTCTAGATTCCGGATGAGAATGCTGCGTGCAGAGACGAAGGAAGTCATCTTGAAGGCTTTCAATTTTGGCGCCTAGGGCTTTACAAGTATGAGGTTCTGAGGTCTTCGAGGCTTGGTTGTCTCACCTTCGGATCTTCACTACGACCCTGAACACCTGGAGTTCAGCCCTGCAGAGGTTCGGATCAATGGAAGCCTCAAACCCGAACCCCCCCGGCCTGTGTACAGCAGCAGTAAGGCCACTATGAAGCTCCAGCTCTTGCGGAGATAGCTGCTCTCCTCGGATAGAGCAAGGTTACACGAGCAAGAAGCAGTTTAACGGTGCAGCGGTTCCGAGATTGAAAGCTTGGAATTTCGGATTTCAGGTGTAGAGTTTAGGATTGAGGTTCCAGCCCAAGCCTCTGGCCTAAACATGTTTCGTCGCCTTTGTTCAGCTCCCAGAATCTTACCACACAGCCGGGTATTTAAATTAGGGGTTCCATCCTTGCCAACAAGGATCCTACTTACTATTTGCTTACATTGGGGTCCTTCGCCTTGTGAAGCTCCCGTATCGTCAATTGCTCAAGTCCCGTCGCAGGAGCAACCCAAGCTAGCTTACCGTCTTTGCTTCTCCTGCAGAAAAGCCAAAACACTGAGCACAACTCTCTCGTCTTAAAACTGTAATGTGGAGTAGCAGCAGCAGCAGTAGCAGTAGCAGTGGCAGCAGGAGCAGCAGTAGCAATAGCCGTAGCAGCAGCAGCAGCAGCAGCAGCAGGAGCAGCAGCAGCAGTCGTAGCAACGGTCGCCGCAGCAGGCGCCGTCGTGGTCGGGGCAGCAATAACAGTACCAGCGGCATTACCAGCAGCGGTACCAGTTGCAGTGCCAGCGAGAGTATCAGTAGCACTGGTTGTGTAGTTGTTGGTAGTGGATGTGCTGTTGCCGCTGCTGCCGGTCCTCTCTGGTCTGTTGTTGTTGTCGCTGTCGTCGCCTTCGTCGCTGTTGTCGTTGTTGCTGCTGCAAGGAGGGGGCTGTAGCTCCCACTGTCTCATCAGTGTTTGGGCAATCTGTCTAGATGTTGCAGATCCTCAATGACTATCTTATTGCCTACTCTACTATTTCTAATTTCTCATGTATCTCTTGCCAGCGTGCTGATGCCTGTCGTCTATTCCCTGCACTCGCTATATTGAGCTACTTTACGAAACCCCCAAACCCAAAGTCCGCAATGGCACATCCCTCCAACACCGATCTCTCTAGCCAGGGCTCCTTCAACACGAAGCCTCAGACAGTTTAGAGTTTGGGCTTGGCAGTGGTTTTGGTCTAAGGGTTTGGGACTAATTATAAGGTTTGGGGCTTAGAGGTCTAGGGCCTAGGGCTTCAATGAAGCAATTTTGCTGATGCTCATGCAAGCGCTCATAAATTTGAGAACCGATGTCGAAGGTGCTCAGCTTAGACGACATCAGGGTCTAGCATTTTAATGGGGATGACAGCTGTCGGGTGCAGGAGTTTGGGGTTTCAGGGCGAGGCTTGACAGTGACAGGTTAATTTCAGCGTGTAGGGCGTGTCATCGGAGTGGCATCCGGGAGACGGAAGTTCTTGAACTTCAAGACAGAGGCCGCCCAAAAGGAATGTACTTGCTTCTGGTAGAAAAGAATCAGGAAATGCTTCGGGTGTAGCAGCGTAGCACTAGGCAGCACTCGTCCCTGCTTAACATGCTCATCATGATCAATCCGCATCTTTACGAACTCATTGGGACATGATTCCGTTTCCCATCATCAGCATAAACATCAAAATCAAAGCCACAAGCTCTGGACCCCAAACCGCCAGACACCAACACCCAAATCCCAGACTCCCAGACCCTGGAATCCCAAACCCTAGTTGTGTGCTTGATTACTGCTACCAAAGATGCAGAACAAAGTCTGGGCTCTTGTTGATTAGGGAAACCTTAATATTATGTTTTTCTATAGCTCCCAATCATGGCAACTTAAATCAAATTCCCCAACAAAAACCAGATTAAGTGGGCCGAGGAACGATAGCCACAACCCTTCTCGAAGCTGCTCATCTCGTCCACAATCCTAAAGTTACGCTTCAGGGTTACAGAAAAGGTCTTGACTAGAGCGGAAATGAAAAATAAAAGCATGCTCCTTCAACATTCGCTCAAGGCCGGGCCAATCGGGCTCTGCCGCGTGGTCTCGTAATCACCGGCGTTACATTTTTGTTGGAGCTTTGGTGGGGTTACACTACCGCAGACATATCACTGAGTGTAGGGTTTGGTTGCAAGGTTTCGGTCTGTTTTGCTTCGGAGGTGCGTGGGTGTTCCGGCTTATCAGGATATTGCAGTTGGGGTTCCTGGGTCCACCAGATATGCTTAGCGACTCTCAACCAACCAACATGTGGAGAAAACCAGGCTCAAGGCGTGAACCCTTCAACACCTTCGCGTAGCATTCCCGTCTTCGCGTCACCTGCTTCGGTATGCCCGTCTCATTCGTGACGAACGGTCAGACAAATAGTCGCGAGAAAACAAACGGCTCGCGCGGCGATGCTTGCAACATTTAGGCCTAGGGTTTGGGTTGAGCTCCGGGTTTGCCCCTTCGCCCTGAACCCGAACCTTCCAACCACCTGAATCCTTCCTTGCACCAACATCAACCTACAAGGTCAAACCAGACAACCCTCAACAAAGTTTAAACTTAAAGCTGTATGCAGACCCTGGGCACTACACTGAGACACTGCAAAATGTGAATGCCGAACCATGAAAGCAACCTTTGATTGTAACTCGCATGATTAGCTTGCTGCCAAAGACACGACTCTGGCTCAACCCAGGCCTCGCGACGTAGGCTTTTGAGGGACGGGGTGAGCTTTGAGGCTTCGTGGGGTTTATCAGGGCTTATCTGGAATTTATACAGGTCTTTACAGGTTGGTAACGTATAACTTCAATGCTATAGGTTACAAGCTATAAGTAGTCTATGATTTATATGTTGTTGGGGTTTAGGGCCCCAGCGAAAAGCTGACAAAGTTGAGGCTCCTGTGTCAGGGTGGTGAAAGTCTTCCAGGTTCTATTATAGGGTTTAGGGTTTAGGGTTTAGGGTTTAGGGGGTTAAGGGCTTAACGGGCGTAGGCTGGGTACTTTCGGCTGCTGGCTTGGGCTTAGGTTTTCGCACTGGAAGCGTGCTGAACTCCCCAACCTCGGCCCCACAACTATTGACAACAACGAACCTTTAACCTCAAATGTGCTATACCCCAGACCCCACACCCCCCATTGGCCCTCTCCCCTAAACCTTAACCCCAAACTCCTTTCTTGAACTACATTGTTTTAGAATGCAGTGAACAGTAGGGGAACCCTTGTTGCTACTATGTAGTTTGGTAAGGAAACCCAAATGGAGGGTGAAAAAGTGTAACACTGTGAGACTCAGTACCCTACACCCCAAAGAACCCCCAAAACTGCCTGAAGGGAAGTAAGCAACACCCTATAAACCTTCAAAACCCTAAACCCTAAACCCTAAACCCTAAACCCTAAACCCTAAACCCTAAACCCTAAACCCTAAGCCCTATCATAGAACCCCCAGTTTAAGCCCCCCCTATAAACCCCCTTTTGGAGCCCTTGGGCCCAGGGTGTTGCGCCTCCTGCAGGCGCTCGCGCTTCTTCTTCAGGGCCGTGGCAGGATCCATGGTGAGCCCTGTGGGGAAAGGGAGCCAGGCTTCATAGTAGGGTTTAGGGCCGAAGGGCTCAGAGTTGACGATGGGGGAGGGGGGGGGGACATTGACGTTTGCATTTTTTGGGTGTTGGATGCTTTTGCCGCCTTCTTTGTGGTTGTCTTGAGGTGAGGCTTGGGTTTGAGCGGGTTTGAGCTTTCGGGTGTCGGGGGTTTTGGGACAAGGATTCGGGTGTGGCGCGGGCCTTGCTGTTGAATGGGGTTGGAGTTTCGAGTTCTGGGTCAACTATAGTAAACAGTGAGCTCCAAAGCACCCCACAGCCTCAACCCTCAACCCCTATTCTGGTGATTTTTACTTGGAGATGCCGACTTTGACTTCAAGGGTTGTGTGCAAGCTAAGAGCCGCCAAAGGAGTACACAACCTTACAGACCATGTTTGTGTGTATGTATAGGAACAAACATGGAGAGAGAGAGAGCGAGAGAGAGAGAGAGAGCGACATAGAGTGTGAGAGAGGGAGAGAGAAAGAGAAGTACAGATACACATGGAAGAGGTAGTTGGTGATACTAGGCTGCGACTGCACTATCACCAAGACCTATGGCCCCACGTTCCCGTTCAAAGACTTGGGGGAGTCGGGATTAAGTGCAAAGCATCTTCATGGCGAAAGCCTTTTGGGGGACACGGCCCGACATGGTTTCTAGCAAAGGAGCCCTAAGCTTTCTGAACGCCGCGCGCTCTCTGGATCCTAGCGGCTGGCCCACCCAATCGAAGCCCGAAGCCCTTAAAATCCCGCAAAAATAGGAACTGCACACCAGAAAGACAAACTCACAACAAGCTTTTGAGAGGCTCCCAAATGCGATCTTTGTTAGGAGGATCCGTGAAAGGCCCCTAACTTTGAGAACCCCCTACGCCCACCCAACGAAAGCAAAGACTCACAAGTACCACCCCGTGAAACCCCATAGAATCCTTGTAAACCCCTAAAGCTCTTCTGAAATCAAACTTCACATTATCCTACTCTTGTTTTCGGAACTTTCGAATCGAGTTTTAGGATGCGAATAAGTTAGCAAGTAAAGAAACCCTGTAATTTAGCCCTCGAAACCCTCGAAACCCTAAACCCTATTTCCTCTAAGCCATAAGCGCGAAAACACGACCCCTCAAAACCCAAAAAACGTCCCGGAAGCCCGGATCGCCTCTGTAAGCTTCAGCTGCTCCCGACTTCGCCTCGCTCTTAAAAGGGGTCTTAAGGGTCCCCTGCTAGACTACTGAGGTTTAGAGCTTAGGGTTTCGGATTTAGGGAGTCCCTTTGTGAGGGATCCTTCAAAGCTTCCATTGAAGGTCACCTTAAGGGTACCGTTTAGGGTTCGAAATAGAAACAACGGGTCCCACTAAGAAAGTCTCCCTTAGGCTATAACAAGGTCTTAATCGCTCAAAAGGTTTAAGGGTTCCATCGCCCTTGGTATTCAGAGGGCGACTCGATTGTATGGGGTTGTTTGTCCAAGGGGACGTTTATGGTGCTATGTCGGCGTCGAAACCGTCGCACCCTCCAGTCCCAATCGGAAGCCCAAGTTAAACCCTATACGCGCTGATCTAAAGCCATAGGTCCTGCACCCTATACTCTACCAGTTCCCGCTGTAACCTTGGAAGGACACTCTGTATGAAAGCCTGAACCTCCAAACCTGAAGACGATCCTAAACGCGCATACCTCAAGCCCTAAACCCGAAAGCCCTAATCCTGAAACTCTAAATCCCGAAAGCCACCCCTCCCCCGCCCCCCAAAAAAAAAGAAAAACAAAAAACAAAACAAAACGCGCGCCGTGCCTTCAGCATGAGTTCATCCACTGAGGCTCGGCGTTTCCTGGCGGAACAGTTAAGGGCGTTGGCCTGCATAGCTTGTAATACTATCTACAGCGTAGTCTGTAGCTTAAGCATCGTATTGTGCAACATAACCTGTCGTACATCCAAACAATATGACATGTATCATGCTCTGCAATTTAACCTATGAACATATCTGACACTGCTTCCGTCCAGTGATAGCGTATTGTGATGATTATAATCAGCCGATATCGCCATCGTTATTGGCATCTACAGGGTGGCTGCTTCTTAATTACGAGTAATACTGCCATGCCCGGTGGTCACTGTTTTCAGGTTTAGCATCATGTCTTTCAGCACCCAGGGCCTCGGGCCTTCGCCGCTTCGGGGCTTCGGGTTAGAGGGCTTAGGGGTTAGAGGGCTTGAGCACGACATGTGTGATTAAACCCGAACCCGCTTAAGGTCGGGGCTCCAGGGTCGGAGTCTCTACCGAGCTACAGTCGCATGCTGGAACTTAGCAGATCAGCTCTATGCTTCAAGGGGGGGGTGCGTGGCTTAGGGCTTAAAATTCATGAGGCCCCACCCGAGCTTGCGGTCGCTGCCCTTACAGTGCCTGAGCTTACCTATTGCACTACCCTGAGGTCACTCGCCGAGATTGCTGATCAAAGGAACCCATCAACTCCAGAACGTTTTGCCTCTGAACCCTAACCCCAAAACATCCCCAGAACCCGAACCCGGATCCCGACAAACCTGTACCAGCCTCACGTAACCCATCAACCCTGCAAGAACCCCATTTTTTAACCCTAGCCACGAAGCCGTACAACTCGAAGCATCCATAGTTACTTAACTTGTAGCCATGACCCTACATTACATTCAATTTTGTACAGATGCACACTAAACCCTGAACCCGAAGGCCCGCACACCCGTTCTCGCGACGTTTCGAGCAATAATTCCCCAGGCTGTGACGAGTTCGACTGCTTCTGTCGGGCACGGAGGTGCAGTTCAGAGTTTGAGGTTCATACGGTAAGCACAGCGGGCTGCAGACTGTTGGCGGAGAAAGGCTACTGAAAGCCTAAAGCCCTTGGCTCAAAACCCCGGCGCCCCCAACTTCAACACCATCAAACCCTGAAGCCCAAAACCCCCTGCCTACTGTAAAACCTGCGATGACCATTCGCCTAACACAAGGACCTCGTCTAGGCCCGAAGCTGTAGGATCGTGACGGTAAGTACGTTCGATCAGGTAGCCCTAAGCTCCAAAATCCCAAAACCCTAAACCCAGAACCCAAAACCCTAAACCCTAAACCCAAACACATCAAAGAAGTCCTCGCTGGCACCGAAGCCACCGAGGGCTCGGTCGGCACGGCTCCCGGGGGCGACACCTCCAGGGGAAGCCCGTCCGCGCGCAGGAGGTGCAAGGTAATTATTACAAGGCGTTAAGGTTTTTTGAAGTGCGTCAAGCGGTTTGCGCCTGTTTAGTCCCTTTCGAGCGGGTTGCCCTCCTTTCCTCGAATGTGTTAGTCCTTTTTGCGCGGCGTGATTTGTCTCGAATACTCCAGTCCCTTTTGGGTGGTGTGCTCCTGTTTCTCAAACACCAGCCCCTTCTGATTGTTGCGCCGGTTTCTCAAACACTGTCTGTCCCAGAGCATCCCTAAACCCACCCCAAACGCACCTTAAAGCCGAGATTTGGGGATTATAGCGACTTTTCTGCTAAGCATGGCGACTGCCATGCGAAAGAAGCAGCACAGTAGAGATGGCCGCTGTGTGTTTTTCTCCCGGTTTGGGCGGGGAAAGGCCTTCATGGGCATACACACAAAAGAACATGACAGCAACGATGAAAGTTGGTAGAGACATGTTCATGCGAAAAGACTGCTGCTGTGTTGTGATGCCGAGAGCACACTTGGGGCTTTCTCCGTGCACAGCAAAAAAGACATGTGCTAATGCGGCAAGATGGGCTGCCGCGTTCTCATGCTGCGAGAACACTTAGATCTATCGCCGTGCGCAAGAGAACATGTTCATGAAAACACCTGCTGCGTTCTCGCGCCGATAGCAGTTGCGCAGAGAGATATGTTCATGTGAACATACTGCGGCGATCTCGCGCGGCCCCAAGGTAGATGACTTTTACTTGTGGACGCTAGGTCAAGCTTCCACAGTCACGTGCGCGCACAATTCCCTTTACTTACGCTGTCGGAGGCCCCTATTCCAAAACTTGGTCATCGTGCCCTTGCTTTACAAATTTTAGAGCCCATAAGCGTGTCCGCATCGGGGAATCATGCTAGAGGGCTTCAGTGACGTTTCTGACGGGCTTGGTAGGGAATTGTAAGATGGCATTAAGTAGAGTTTCAAGTCCCTGCAGGCTTTGTGCTTTCAGCCTGTCTGTGCGCAATAGCGTGGATGGAGCCTTGGTGCTTTGGCAAGAACTTAGGTGTCTAAGGCTCGCGGCTTGCTCTGGTCTAGGTTTCAGGGGTCGAGTGCAGCCCCAAGGCTGCAGAGAACCGTATTGCAATACAAAGCCTACGGTCCAAGTCCCAGAATCCTTCCCAAGGTAAAACAAAACAAGAAGATCGGTCCCGCCAAGCCCACCTCGGTATGCCATGTCGGGTTCGACTTGGGCGTCTTTTTTGTCTGCTCCTCGTGGTGGGAAGAGGAGGGCGGCCATGTGACGGGCTTTCGGACCTCTGATTCCAAACTTTGAGAAGCCTTTCTGATCGTAGCTGCTAGTCTGCCTGAATACCGAATCGACCACTGGCGCTGCTCCGACAACTTGTTGACGGTACTGCTACTACCACGACCACCGCTACCACTTGCTTCAGCGAACCTTCCACCTGCCCCTGCCACCCGCCGATTTAAGGGCATAACGGTATGATGCTTCTCAGTGCACACTGTCGTTACTGGGCTTCTTGGTGCAAGGTTTACTCGCGACTGGAAGTATCGATAGCTGCAAGGCCCTTCATTGGGCCCTTCAGTGGCTTTTGCTGGCTGGCTTTCATAGGCCGCCTGAGGAAGTACGAAAGGCTACTGAAAGAACTACAGCAAATAAGAATGACAACGGTGAGGAGGAGGAGGAGGAGGAGGACTTGTCCTATCCCGACCGAGCATGCTGGCAAAACCCTACCTATCCCCAAACTCCTGAAGCCCGCAAGCCCCGTTCAACCTGCTGAAAAGTTAAGAACCCAAATCCCGGAACCGCCGATCCTAAGCTGAAACCCCGAAA